TCCTCAAAGAAGCTACCGAAGCTTTTGAACGAACACAAGAACAACAAGCCAACAAGACCAACAAACATGGACGAGACGTAACATTCAAAGTAGGGGACAAAGTCTGGCTCTCCGCCAAACGCTTTGGACACGAACACGGCTTGTCCAAGAAACTCTCGAACAAATGGCTCGTTCCCTTCCCCATCATTGAACAAACCTCCCACGTCAATTACAAGCTCCAATTCCCTCCTGACATGAGTCGTGTCCACCCTGTCTTCCACGTAGAATATTTAAAAGAATACCATGAATTCCCACAGGCCCAGAATTCGTAGTAGAATCCATCATAGGTCGACAAACCACACAAGTATCAGACCATCCGGAACCAATCACAGAATACAAAGTTAAATGGACGGGATACCCTGACGAAGAATCCACATGGGAACCTCTTCCTAACCTTAAGAATGCTATGAAACTCGTTCGTGCCTATGATCGTGCTCACCATACTTGCAACCACCATACTTGCAACCGCACAAGCCGCACATTCGTACGGAGTTCTATGCGGAGTTCCGTGCGGGGGGTGCCTGTGCGGAATCGTGCAGGTTTTTTATTTTTATTATTATTATTATTATTTTTTTTGGGAGGGTGGACGGGGGGGTGTATGACAGGAAGATGGGGATATAACGAGAGGAAGGGGATATGGAGAGGAGGAGGATGTGGAGGAGGAGGACGACGAGGACAGCGAGGACGAGGAGGAGGAGAAGTAGAGATGGGGAAGGAGAAGAGATGGACGGAGGGAAAAGAGGAAGGGCAGGAGAAGGAGGACGACCGGGAGGAGGAGGAGACATGGACGGCGAGGAAGGGGAGGACTCGAGGAAGGGGAGGACATGAGGAAGGGAAGGAGATGAGGAGGGATGGAAGATGAGGAAGTACGAGGAGGAGACAAGGAGGATGAGGAAGGGCAGGACGAGGACGAACAGGAGGAGGAGGACGAATTGGAGGAGATGAAAAGGAGAAGGGAGGAGGAGACATGGAGGATGAGGAAGGGGAGGAGGAGCGAGGTGAGGCAGTACCCCTGCAAACTTTTTTTTCATCGCAATTATAATTTTGGCGGGGGCCCTCGAACTCACCGTTTCGACCCCCAGCCTTCCTTTTTTTTTTTTCGGAGGGGGGTGATGGGTCGTTCCCCGCACACATCGTGTGCGGCACGGGATCGGTTGGGCGCGTGCGCCGCACGTCGGGAACCGCCCGCACGACGTGCGCTTGCAAGTATGGTGCTCACCCTATATCCTAGATACATAATATAACTCAAACCCTAAACCCTTGCATAAAACCCCGCATTCCTGCTCTACACACACCCCTGTACCCAGCGAAGCCCTTGCCTCTTGAACCACCCCCTGTCTGATCCGCTCTTGCCTCCGCCTTGCCCCGTTCTCCCATCTGTCCTCCGCCACGTCCTTGTCTCTCTTGTCCAAGTCCTCTCTGTGGCCCCTGTGCGTTGCCGGCGATAATGGATCTAATGGCAAGCGTGCAAGGACGATGGCATGCTGCAGCTCAGTACGAGGAGATAAGACCGCTGGTTGGCCACCATGCTGTTCCCTTTGGCCGGCACCTTGGATTCGCAGACTTCTGGAGCAGCACCTCTGACATGTACATCAAGATCAGTCTGTGACCTGCTATCCGGATCGCACCTCATCATCAGACAGTGTACCGGACGCAACCTGCTATTGCGACAATCAAGCTGAAGTCCTCGCCGCCTACATCACGGAACTGCTGAAGACTGTTTCCTCACCGCCACTTCTGCGACACCCTCCAAGACCTTCCTCGAGACATTGTTTTCGCTTTTAACACTTTGTTACAGACCTGAGACGTTGTTTTTCCAGACCCCTCAGAAACCCCAGCACTTGAGCATTGAACAAACAATTTTTTTGTTTTATTTTATTTCTCTACAACCCTGACAAGCTATAACCTTGTAGAACACCAATAGGACTACCCTGGTACTTGTAGAACCTCAATAGGATTACCATGTTATCTGAACATTGCTACTCTCACCCTTGTAGACCCTCAATAGGATTACCCTGTTACTTGAGCATCGATTCCCTCATCCCTGTAGAACCTTGATAGGATTACCCTGCTACTTGCATTACTCCCCTTTTCCTTTTCTGACCAGTGATCGGCCCCGTCCCGTCCTTCACAGTTTCATTGGGTCTTTGGCAGCCGGGACGTTGCCTTCCAGAGGGAGGGGATAGTGTTACGGACTCAGCCAGGGCTCGATCCCTGGTCCTCAGGTTACCACCTGCCGTTCCTGACTGTTGGCGCCCCTGCAGTTGGCGCCCGTTCTCAAATCCCGCCTCTGCCACTTTCGGATTTCGTACTTGGCGCCATCCGGCGTTTTGGCGCCCAGGCTCAGACCTTCGATTTTCAGTTCAGCCCCGAGGCAATTGCACTTTTGCCCTCGGACTCAACTTGAGTCCGGTACTTAAGACCGGACTTAACTTGAGTCCGGTACTTAAGACCGGACTCAAGCTGAGTTCGGGGACTCAGTTTTCAGCCTCAGTGCTTGTGCTTCCGTGTGACTTGCTGCGACATTGTGTATGGAACCGAGCTTGCGACTTTGCGACTTTGCCACTTTGTGTTCGTGTCCGTCGAGTCGTGTCGAGTCCGTGTCGAGTTGAGTGAGTGTGTGTATCTGTGCTCTCACTCCCTCCCTCTCTCTTCCGCGACCTCGCTGCTCTGCCTCAGCCCCGTCACAGGTGTTACTTCCGCCTATGTGAGGGCCAACCCCGATGCGTCCGTCAGATGAAAACAAATGAAGAACAAAGAACAAAAAAGCTTCCCTTATGCTGTGATCATGGTCCGATACAGGAAGCTACAGTGCTGGTGTGAGTATGATGCGAGTGAGGCAGACTCAGGCAGTTAGTTGCGTCGCGTGGAATACGCCCTGCCTCTCTGGCAGGGCACGGAAAGGAAACGTCTACAAGAAAAAACAAAAACAAAAACATCATTACTCACGTTCCGCACATACTGGCCAGGTACATTCCTCAAAGCACTGGTGAGACTTCCACCTCTGGGAGGGCCTTTTCGATGTTGCTAGATTCAAAGTTCTTTGTTTGTTTTTGTTTCGTTTTTTTGTTCTTTTCTTTTCGTGGGCCCACAAGGTCCCACTCTTTTCCTTTTCTTTGCTTTCCCGCCGAGCCTCCTTGGACCTTTGGAAATTGCGGTATAGAGAAAATTATTATCCCACTTTACCCCCCAACACTGAGAAAGGTAGTGGTGGTTTAAGGCCGAATTAATCAAGTCGATGAAGGTTTGCCGCTAGTAAGGTTGAGATTTTCGGAGTTCGCGCAGTAGGCTCAGTGCGTTCTGTCTGCCTATGACTGAGTCTGTTTGAAAATAATGATGGGGAAGTGTTTGGCTATCAACCAAGGGAATCATAATCACAGATAATGTGGGACCACGCCACACTGATGAAATCACAATTTGTGTGCGCACTCTCGGAAAAAATAGGGCCTGTGCAGAGTCCAAAAGAGTCCGATCAAGCATGTGGGGGCCAACAGGGGCTTGATTCCAAGTGGGGGATGTTGGTCTTTGCCTGAAAAAAAATGTTCAGAATGTGTGCACATGATTGGCATCTCCCCTAAAGAAAAACAGAGATTGCTGACGTCAGGTAGTCGTGATGGCGGCCATTGCTCTCTTTCAGTGGTGCGATGCTGTGAACTTGGCCTGCTCAAATTTTTTATTTTTATTTTTATTTTTATTTTTATTTGAATTTGGACCGTTTCTTGATTCATGGGTGTAATCCTTTGTGCAGGGGCCATGCTAATCTTCTCTGTATCATTCCAATGTTAAACGGATGTGCCGAAGGACTGGTCAGAAAGTTGTACTGGGAATGGGTGGATAGTAGAATGCTGCCGCCATCGCCGCCTAGAGTATTTTGCTTGGTTTCTGCCACCGCTCTGTGTGGTTTTGGGTGCGAATAACAAGGGGGGGTGCTAGTGTGCATGCCATGGGGTGAAGAACGTTGAGAAGGTGGGGGAAAGGGAAGAGTGAGGGTGGGGCAATGTTGCAATCCGTGTGCCATGGGGAGGGGGGGATGTTGATGTGGATTGCAAGATGCTCTGCACTGTACATATGATGGGGCTGGGGAAGGGAAGTGTTGCGGGGGGTTTTGCAGCATGCCTATATCTGATGAGCTGGGGGGAAGGGGGAGTTTTCGGAGGTGGTCATGAGATGCTCGTCATGCAAGAAGTGGAGTAGCAGCAGAGGGAGTGTTGAAGAGGGTGGAGGGGGCTTGCGTTCACTGGGCGAGGGAAAGGGGGAATTGTGCAGTGGGTTGCAGGATGTGCTCCTTGCAGGGAAGAGCGAAGGAGGGTGGTACACGAGAGTGTTGAGGAGGTTTTGCCTGGAACTCGTTCCGCATAGAGGTTAGGTTGAGCAGAATATGCTGGAGGAGGGTTGGGGAACGTGTTGTGCGTGCAAGAAGGTGGGCTGTGGGAGTGTTAATAGGGGGTTCGGAAAGGCTGGTGTGCAGGTAGAGGCGGAGAGGAGAATGTGAAGGGGAGTCAGAAGATGCTTTGCAGACATGGGGTTTGTCGAGGGTGGTTGTGATGTGTGCCATCTACGGAAAGGGGGATGAGCGGCAGTACGATGTGGCTTGCAAGAGGAGCTCGGCAGGAGGTATTGGGTAAAGGGGCGTAAATGGGGTCGCAAGATGCGCTGCCCTCAAGAACAGGGGGAGGTGAAGAGTCAAGGGGGTTGGAAGAATCTTCGCACTAGAGATGGATGGTGATAGAATTTTATGGTGCTTGGAGTGTGCGCAGGTGAATGGTGTTTTGAATCAAGGGGTTTATAATACTTTATATTGCTTTTCCAAAAGCGTATTTTAAGAGTGAACTTAGGGCTCGAAGTTTGCAAAGGAACAAGCCGGTTCCTTCTCCTACTCAACGCCCTAGGTAGCGGAAACATATGTAATAGAAAAAAATGCTGACTTTTAAATGTATACCCGTCTGGATTGGTGTGAACAGATGGACAGGATCGACGGTGGATAAAGGGGAAGGAGGCTGTTTGGTGGTCTGTGAGTGGAAATGCAACATTGCCAAGAATTGGGCCACTTGTTCTACACCTCGTCTTGATGTCTCAGCCTAATGTGATGGGAGACTTGAAGGAACGAGTTGCGCATGGAATGTGTGCAATGGTTAGTAATCATTCCGCCAGGCTACCTTGCCTGCGTTCAACTGTTTTGGGCAGTCACTATGTGTGTGGTATATTATAGCCTCCAGTGTTTTCATGCTGCGAAGCATTCACTGAGCCATCTGTTGCTTGTTATGGTACTGGTCGAATGTGTGGAGCATGGGAACATCTATCCAGATAGAAGACTGCCCAGCGTGCAACTGGCAGTTTACGGACCTGGATTCCACTATCAGAGGCCCAAGCGTGTACACAATGACGCATTCATGGAAGAGAAGAAGTCACTGATGTATTATGCTCCACAAAAGGAACAAAAAGCTCAAAAGATGTGTGTGTGTGTGTGTGTGTG